ACTCACCTTACAATGCTTGATTAAAACCTATCACGACCTGGAACTCCCACCATCGGGACCATGATGGCGCCTAACATTTTCAGTTGCTAGGCAAGCCAATGTTAGAACAATCTACTCCTTTTTAACAGTTAAAATAGATATTAAAGAAGAACTGAGATAACTGAATAAATTTAAAGTAACAGTGTGGAAGTTGAACTAGCCAAATATCTATTACAATTTCCCTGAACTTGGTGTCACGAGTGCACGAACTACTAGAGTAATACACATAAGGGTCTGAAGTAAATAACAAGTTGTTCATATGAAAGTTCACAGCTAAATAAACATAGGATGGGGACTCCAGGGGCTGCGAGCGCTGAACAGTCGTACCTCAAGTCTCCCCGAGTCTCCAATCCGATATCTCTAGTAGCCGCTGTCAGGACCGTCTCCAAAATCTGCACAGTGTGCAGAGTGCAGTATCAGTACAACCGACCCCATGTACTGGTAAGTGCCGAGCCTAACCTCGACGAATTAGTGACGAGGCTAATGCGGGTCACCTACGCTAAAACCTGTATGCAATCTATAATAATGACAGAATAATTGAAATACAGTACAAAATTCAACAGCCAACAGGAAATGATAACCACAGCCTCGAAATAAACGAGTGCCGTGCAAGATTACCAATATCTACCAGCTCAAATAAAAATACTGTAAAAACAACGCAGCTCAAGAAATAGAAACATATAGGTTATTGCGGCGCGAAACTCGATCCCACCAGACAACACATAATCCTCCCTTATTCCACCAACACAATAACAATAACAATAAATAATATATATATATATATATATATATATATATATATATATATATATATATATATTACGGCGCGCAGCCCGATCCCACCATATATCAATATCAATATCGTGATTCACCCTTGTTTCACCATATCAATCTACCCTTATTCCACCTGTTGCGGGGTGCAACCCGATCCCACCATATACACATATTCACCCTTATTCCACCATATCAATCCTCCCTTATTAGACCTGTTGCGGCATGCAGCCTGATCCCACTATTGCAGTTCCAAACAGTCAATGTACATAGTCAAATCAACAGGCAAAATCACAAGGCCTTTACGATAAATAAATACCAAACTAAACCAAGAAAAGGAACTTTGTTAAATGTAGAATATACATAAATAATACTACACAACAAGACCGAAACAGCAATCCACAGTATAAAAGTACAACCAAGTCAAATTAAGCAAATAGGAGGGATTAGGGGAAATATGAGAAGAGCTAACATGATTTACAGAAGAAAATATTGATTAACACGTAGCAATTAAGCATGTAAAGCATTTAGAGCATGTAATATTTAATATAGGAGAGAAAACAATTAAGGAAAATCGATAAATCAGGGAAAATAGGAAATTTGGCGACGTATAAGCACTTGTCACCTTGCATATAAGCCGCTCACATGGAATTCACATAACACAAATTCCAAGGGTTCCTAATTCCCTCAAGTCAAGGTTAGACACAACACTTACCTCGTTCCAAGGACACTTAAAGCTCAATCACAACTTCGCCTTTCAAACACGCCTCCGAACCAACAATATCTAGCAAATTACCAACCAAACGTTTCAAAATAAACCTTAGGAATCACCCACAATCGATAAGAATTTAGTTTAGGCCATTATTGAAAAAGTCAACACCCGGGTCGGCTTGAGCCAAATCCGAAATTCAGACCAAAACCCGAATACCCATTCACCCCCGAGCCCGGATATACGATTGGTTTTGGAATCTGACCTCAATTTGAGGTCTGAATCCCCAATTTATCAAATCCCTAGTTTCTACCCAAAAATCCCCAATTCCACCATGAAAACCTTAGATTCTAGGTTGAGATCTTGTAAAATGAAGTGAAATATTGAAAGAAACTAGTTAAGAATCACAATTGCCTAGAGGGTTTCTTGTTTTAAAAATTTCGAGAAAGGAGCGAAAATCCCGTCTAAGTTAGGTTTTACACAGCTGTAGATGACACATTTGCGACCTGAGCTTCGCAATTGCGAAGCTCACAAATGCAAGGGGACCATCGCAAATGCGAGGTCCTTCACATCTCTGTTGCCTTCGCAATTGCGAAGATAAGTTCGCAATTGCGAACGTGAATCTCCGCAAATGCGACAAAAAGATCGCGTTTGCAATCACTGCCCCTCCCGGCTTTATTCGCAAATGCGAAGAATTCTTCGCAATTGCGAAGACTGTATGGCCCAGATTCTCTTCGCATTTGCGATGAGAAGCTCGCAAATGCGAACCCCACAGAGGTTGCAATTGCGATGCCTCATCTCGCAGAGGCCTGCAACACCCTCAGTTACACCAGCAAATTTTCCAAGTTCAAATCACTCCATAGACTATCTGAAACTTGCCCGAGCCCTCGAGGCTTCAAACCAAACATGCACACAAGTCTAAAAACATCATACGAACTTGCTCGCACGATCAAATCGCAAAAATAACACCTAGAACTACGAATTTAGCACCAAATCAAATGAAATTCTTAAGAACACTCTGAAATTTCTATTTTCTCAATCGAATGTCCGAATCACGTCAAACCAACTCCGTTTCTTACCAAATTTCACAAACATGTCTTAAAAATTATAGGCGAAATGGCTTCCTGGCCACTCAAACTTGTAGCGCTTTTAAAAGCCGATACATAAACTTTTCTCTTTCCCATTTAAACACTCAAACTCCTGAAACCTTTAACTAATAAACACAATTGACCGCTGACCCATCCCATATGGCGTCAGTTGGTCCTAGTCAGCCCCCTGCGTGAATGTCACGACTTTTAGGAGCGTGTGAGACCCCCTTCCCAACGCCCAACGGTCAAAAATAGGGCCTATTTAAGTGGGGTCTTATTCTTTCAATTGGATACACATTATCCCTCTATTATATGCATTTGAAGCTTCATTTCGCCTATTTCTTAAAATCTGAAGCTTTCTTTAGTTTTTTTTTTCTTTTTCCAGATTGTGATAACGTATCAAAGTCCTGTATTTTGTCATTGTGGAGTTGAAGCTCATATTTGCATCACTTGGAAGCCAACAAATCCAGGAAGGAGGTTTTATGGGTGCTCAAACTATGGTCGAGTCAATTCTTGTAACTTTTTTAGGTGGTATGACCCACCTCATCCAGATCACTATAAACAGGTGATTTCAGGGTTGTTATCAAGAATTAAAGAGAGAGATCGACTACAGCATAGGAAGAGGGTCAAGATCATTGTAACTTTAGTTGTTGTAGTAGCACTAATAATTGTAATTTTCTTCTTAGTGTAGTTAGCACTAACTTCATAACCCTATGTACAATGATAATGACAGAATGAATGATGTCTTTTTTGTGGAATAAAAAGCAATTTTAACATAAACAAGCACACATATATAAACAACCAAGTTCGATCAGCCTTCTTGGTTGACAAAATTAGCACGAATTGCTGTCTAGTAGCAGAAATAGTTTGAACATTGTTCGAAAAGAAAAGTCATACTTAAACAGACTTAAGTTAACCTACAAATTAAGTTCTGCAACTAACAGACTTAAGTTATCACAAAAACAAATATTCAGTCATCTTCAAGGTTGAGATTGGTTGATGTTTTGCTGAGAGTGGCTCAAGTTTGGACATGAGTCTGGCTTGGCTGAGATGAAGAATGGGCTTGAGGTTGGCTAAGGCTTGCTTGAGTTTGTCTTCTCCTCAACTGTTATTGAAGTTGCCTTTGTGATATAGCATTTCTTCCTTGCCACCTTAGTCCAGGTGCACTGTATCCAAGATCGATATTGGTCTGCCCAGCATCCACTACATTTGTAGGAGAAGAATGTACCCTATCTCTTGATCCACACTGCATAGGAAGCCAAATTAGTACCCAAACTACTAATATATAAATAAAAATTCAAATCCTTAATGATCTTACCCTTTCTATCACTGTTCCTGTTTCACTAAACAATATACCAAATCCAATAGTTCTTGGTCTTCCTCGAAGTCCACTACCTCTTGGCTTCCTCTAACACTAGCTATAATATCCTCAGAAGTTCTTGATCTCACACTTCCAGTATCCTGATGTAAGATAAAGTATTATCTTGTAATTTTAAAAAATTTGGTCCTAATACAGATTAACTAAATTAACTAAAATGAATACTTACAGATGCACTTGCAACAGCTGATGGTTGAGTATTTGTGGCCCTGGTAGTTCCAAAATCACTTGTAGGACCTGATTGTTGAGTTGTTGTTTGAGCAGCCTGTGATGGTTGAGTAGCACCAGCATTACCGGTTCCTGTTGTTCCAGATCCTTGTCCTTTCTAAAATTTCCAAAATTAAAAATGAGATATAGAAAATGACATATAGAAATTTCCAAAATCAGACACAAATTCGATACATTACCAGGATAGGACACCCCTTCTTGTTATGCCTACTGTCTTACAATTAGAGCATGTCATTGGTGTCCCTTTCCTTGATCTCTTACCAAACTTCTTCTTAGGTTCATCTTGAGCTCTTTTTCTGTTTTTCTTAGGTCTACCAGGCATCTTGGTAATCATAGGAGGCTCAACAGTTGGATTCTGTGCTGATGGCCATATCTCTATGTTGGTTACTGGCTGTATGTAACAACTAAAAGCCTTCAGGTATGTTTCTTTCTTGTACCAGTGGGCTACATAGTCAGCAGCCTCAAATTTCTTAAAAAACATTGCACATATTGCATGGGAGCATGGTATTCCTTTGAGCTGCCATGATCTACATGTGCATGTATTGTTGGAGAAGTCAACAATATGTTTGTAAACCCCATGTTGTATCTCATACCCAGTATCCCCATTCCATTTAAATTCATGCTTAACAGCATATTCAGATTGTTCCTCTATGTACCCCATTGCCATAGGAGATACATCAGAAATCCACCTTGTTGCAAATTCTCTCATGGTAGTCATCCTCTCCATCACCTTCACTCTAATCTCTTCTAACATGGTTATGATAGACTTGTGCCTAGCAGACAAGATCTAACTGTTAAAGGTCTCACACATGTTTTTCTCCACAGAATCATATTTACTCCAATCTTTGAATAATGCTCTACACCAACATTGTTTTGGGTATCTCAGCAACTCCTCAATGATCTTACTATCACCTAATTCTGCCAGCTCATCTATCTTAGCCTTCAAATATGCTTCAAATGAAGCCCTTGCACAGGCCCAAAACTTCTTCCTTCTTTCCTCTCCTTTCCACTTTTGTTTCCAGTTGCTCCATATGTGTCTTGCACACATTCTGTGCTCAACATTTGGTAACAACTCAGAAACAGATGCAACAAGTCCCTTAAGCAACAAAAAAAACAATTAGAATATCAGAAACATATATAAAGTATCCAAGTAATTAATGGAAGAACAAGGGTGTAGTATATACCTTCTGCATATCAGAAATGATGGTCACCCCCTCACCTTGGGATTCAGTAAGCTGCAGATCATGCATCAGGCACCTAAAAAACCATTACCATGTGTGCTTTGTCTCCTTTTCCACCACTGCCCAGGCAACAGGGTACATTTGGTTGTTACCATCTTTAGCAATGCATGATAGTAGCTCACCCTTACACACACCCTTCAGAAATGCTCCATCAAAGCCAATAACATTTCTACACCCTTCCAACCAACCAACTTTGCAAGCATGTAGACAAATATAGATACCCACAAACACCTCCTTACCAGGTATTGTCTCCTTGGAGGTCTTCACAATAACAGTGCTGCCAGGATTTGTAGACCTCAACTGGTCAGCATAATCATATATTCTAGCAAACTCCTTCTTGTAATCACCAAGATACTGACCCATGACCTGATGTTTAGCCCTAGCACATATGGATTTTCCCACATACACACCATACTTTATCCTAATCAAATCCTGCAACTGCCTAAGCTTAATGTCAAGTTGGTTGATAATCTTGTCCTTGAAATGTTTAGCTACCCATGCTGTATTAGCCATCTTGTTTCTGGTTGCTCTAAAACACTTATGAACAGGATAGTAGCTCTTGACAATGAAATTCCCTGTGTGTCCCTCCAAGCTTCCCAAAATATGCCATCTACATCTTGTTGAGTTCACACATGTTGCCCTAACTCTATGTTGCTCATTAGGCCTCAACTTAATTTGAACTCTTCTTTGTACAGCATAATCTTGCAAAGCAGATTTGAACTGTTTCACATTTTCAAACACCATTTCCAACTGGAAACAAATTTTCTTACAAGCAGGATCAAAGTATACCCTACTGCTGTATCTTCTTGGTTGAGGGTTATGCACCCCATCTTCTTCATCTACTTCATTATCTGTATCCTCACTACCTGGATCTGAACTGTCCAGATATTGTTCATCCCCTCCCAACTTTCCAGCATATTTGGATCCCCTATCTTTATACATGTCTTCAAAACTAGGGTCTATACCTAAAGGTCCACTAGGTATCTCATCAGTATTAACTTTAGAAGATCTTAATTTACTACTCTTTGCATTCACTTTAGCTTGTCTAGCAGCAACAACTTCAGGTTCTAGGTCACTTGTCTCTCCAACAATATCCTCATCGAACCATATAATGACTCATCTGTATCATCATCATCATCTACAGAAAAAGCCTTATAATCTTTATCACTCTCAGTACTTAGCTCATCACCCTCAGCATCACCCTCAAAATCAGTTGCTAAATGAAAGGTATAGAAGTCACCTTCATTTTCACTAGACTCTTCTGTTTCAGAAGAACTTTCAGAACTTTCAGCAGCCCTCTCTTTACCCTTCCCATGAGTGTTATCACCCCTATTTATATCATTGTTAGGTGAGTGTGTTGCCCTAGCATTAACATCACTTGTTTGCCCATGTGGCTGAACATTAGTGGGATCCACATTTAAACCACCACTACTTAACATTTCATCTAGGTCCAAATCAATACATGGTGTATTAATTGTGTGACATATATACACAGAAATCAATATCCCCATCCTTAAGGTCTTGACAGAAAGCTAACACATCAGCATCACATTCCAGAAATCTAAATTCTCCTTTTTGGTTAATTTTACATGCATATTTATCTACTGTTAAGTACCCCATATCCTTAGCCCAATCATGAAATTGAATTATATGTAATTCATCAATGTCAGCTTGAAGAAAAACTGGCCAAGTTTGACCATTTACATACCTCACAATTGGGTTAGCTACTAACCACCCTAGATGATGAAACTATAATTTCACATAGACAACCATTGAAACCTATAAAAAGGGGGGACAAGTCAGATACACTTTAGCCCTAAAAAGACATAAACTTTAACAAAATGGGAGACAAGGATATTTTGATATTCAAAAAAGACCTAATTTTTTAACCCTAAATGCCATATCACTCATGAAAAAGACAAACCCCTAAAATAAAGTGAACATACGACTGTTTTCCCCAAAACCCTAATATAAAATCCCATCATTTGTGCATGCAGACAAAAGCCCTAATTTTTTAACCCCAAATGTCAGATCAGTCATGAAAAAGACAAAAAAATCCTAAAAGAGTGAATATTCCAGTGTTTCCCCAAATATAAAATCCCAAAAGGCGAAATGGCTTCCACTATATCAGATGAAAAATTATGCATGCAGACATAGATAGCTTTCACTATCAAACATTACCCACATTATTTCACAACAAATTAGAAGAGAAAGATGAGAACGACATCAAAAGAAACAAACTAACCTTCAGAGACTAACGTGACTGAAATCGAAAGCTCAAACGAATCTCGATCAGCTTTTCATTAAAAGAGGGGGGACCCCAATCGTTAGGTTTTGGAGTGATTAAGATTATTTTGGAAGGACATGACCAGGTTAATCAGCCATTGCTAAACCTAGGTTTAAGAGGGGAGGGATGGTTAGAGAGAGGAAAAGAGACGAAAAGTGGGGAAGGGTATGTCGGTGTACTGATTATAAGAGGGGGACCCCAATCGATTGGGTTTAATTTGGCGCCATTGACGTGTACCGGTCTCATTGGTCATTTGCTGACTGGATGGACACGTTAGCGAATGTGTAATACACGCGCTTAGGGTCAAGGACAAATTGTGTTTATTAGTTATAGGTTTCAGGAGTTTGAGTGTTTAAATGGGAAAGAGAAAAGTTTATGTATCGGCTTTTAAAAGCGCTACAAGTTTGAGTGGCCAGGAGGCCATTTCGCCAAAATTATATTGAACCTGTAGCGGGCTCCGGTACCAAAATACGGACCGGATACCAACAAGATCAAACATTAACAATTTCTTAGAAACCTTTAAATTTTAGACTTACAATTTTCATCAAAAATTCATAACTCGAGCTAGGGACCTCCGATTTCGATTCCGATTTCGGGCATACGCCCAGGTCCCATATTTTGATACGGACCCACCGGGACTATCAAAACACAAATATGTGTCCGTTTACCTAAACATGTTGACCAAAGTAAACTAAAATAAAGTTTTTAATCAAAAATTCGCATTTTTATCAACATTCAACACAAAAGCTTGCCGGAAACACGCCCGGACTGCACACACAAATTGAGGAGGGATGAAATGAGGTTTTAAAGGCCTCCGAACATAAAATTTTGTTTTATATATTAAGATGACCTATCGGGTCATCACATTCTCCACTCTAAAACAATCGTTCGTCCTCGAACGGACATAGAAAAATTTCCTGAGCTGGGAAAAAGTTGGGGGTATCTACTCCGCATATAGGACTCGGACTCCCATGTAGCTGCCTCAACAGGCTGACCTATCCACTGCACTCGAACTGAAGGATAACTCTTCAATCTCAACTGACGAACCTGCGGGTCTAGAATACATACCGGCTCCTCCTAGTAGGTCGAATCCTTGTCCAACTGGACAGTGTTGAAGTCTAACACATGAGATGGATTGCCATGATACTTCTGAAGCATGGACACATGGAATACTGGGTGGACAGTTGATAAACCAGGTGGCAACGCAAGTCTGTAAGCCACCTCTCCCACTCGATCAATAATCTCAAAAGGCCCGATGTATCTAGGGCTCAACTTGCCCTTCTTTCCAAATCTCATTACACCCTTCATGGGTGATACACGGAGCAACACTCTCTCTCCGACCATGAATGCAACATCACGGACCTTACGGTCGGCATAACTCTTCTACGTGGAATGAGCTGTGTTAACCTTATCCAAGGCATTTTGTACCGAATCTGTACCCAATAACCGAGCCTCCTCCGGCTCAAACCATCCAATAGGTGATCGACACCGTCTACCATATAATGTCTCATAGGGGGCATCTGAATGCTCGACTGGTAGCTGTTGTTGTAGGCAAACTCTGCAAGTGGCAAGAACTGATCCCAAGAGCCTCCAAAGTCAATAACACACGTGTGAAGCATGTCCTCCAATATCTGAATAGTGCGCTCAGACTGTCCGTCCGTCTGAGGGTGAAATGTTGTGCTCAACTCAACCTGCATGCCCAACTCACGATGTACTACCCTCCAGAAATGCGAGGTAAATTGCGTACCTCAATCAGAAATGATAGACGGGCACACCATGAAGACGAACCATCTCGCGGATATAAATATCTGCCAACTGCTCTGAAGAATAGGAAACTGCCACAGGAATGAAATGCACTAACTTGGTCAGTCTATCCACAACAACCCAAACTGCATCGAACTTCCTTTGAGTCCGTAGGAGTCCAACAACGAAATCCATAGTGATAAGCTCCCACTTGCGCTCAAGAATCTCTATCTTCTGAAGCAAACCACCAGGTCTCTGATGCTCGTACTTTACTTGCGGACAATTTAGACATTGAGCCACATATGCCACTATATCTTTCTTCATTATCCTCCACCAGTAATGTTGCTGCAAGTCCTGATACATCTTGGCGTCACCCGAATGAATAGAATACCGGGAACTGTGGGCCTCCTCTAGAATCAACTCACAAAGTCCATCTACATTAGGCACACAAACACGACCCTGCATCCTCAAAACTCCATCATCTCCAACCGTAACCTTCTTGTCATCTCCGTGTCGCACTGTGTCCCTAAGGACAAGCAAATGAGGGTCATCATACTGCCGCTCCCTGATGCGCTCAAACAATGAAGACCGAGCAACCGTACAAGCTAGAACACGACTGGCCTCAGAAACATCCAACCTCATGAACTGATTGGCCAAAGCCTAAACATCTAATGCAAGTGGTCTCTCACCGACTAGAATGTACGCAAGGCTATCCATACTAGCTGACTTCCTACTCAAAGCATCGGCCACCATATTGGCCTTCCCCGGATGATACGAGATGGTGTATCATAGTCTTTCAATAGCTCTAACCACCTCCTCTGCCTCAAATTGAGCTCCTTTTTCTTGAACAAATACATAAAACTCTAATGATCCGTGAACACCTCACACGACACGCCATAAAGATAGTGCCTCCAAATCTTCAGCGCATGAACAATGGTTTCCAACTCCAAGTCGTGAACATGGTAATTCTTCTCGTGAACCTTCAGCTGCCGCGAAGCATATGAAATAACCTTGCCACCCTGCATCAATATCGCACCAAGTTCAATACGAGATGCATCATAATATACTGTATAAGGCCCTGATCCTGTGGACCCAACACTGGCGCCGTAGTCAAAGCAGTCTTGAGCTTCTGAAAGCTCGCCTCACACTCGTCCGACCATCTAAACGGGGCACCCTTTTGGGTAAATCTATTCATTGAGGCTACTATAGATGAGAACCCCTCCACAAACCTACGGTAATAACCCGCCAATCCCAAGAAACTCCGAATTTCTATAGCTGATGTGGGTCTAGGCTAGTCCTTGACTGCCTCAATCTTCTTAGGATCCAGCTGAATACCCTCTGCTGATACAACGTGACCCAAGAAAGCAACTGAACTCAACCAAAACTCGTATTTAGAAAACTTAGCATATAATTGGCCGTCTCATAGAGTGTGGAGAACTATCCGAAGATGTTGCTCATGATCCTCTCGACTGCGGGAGTAGATCAAGATATCATTAATAAAAACAATCACAAAGGAATCCAGATAGGCTTTGAACACCCGGTTCATCAAATCCATGAATGTTGTTGGGGCATTTGTCAGCCCAAATGACATCACTAGAAACTCATAATGCCCATAACGAGTTTGAAAAGCTGTCTTAGGGAAATCGGATGCCCTAATCCTCAACTGATGGTAGCCAGACCTCAAGTCGATCTTTGAAAACACCTTGGCACCCTGAAGCTGGTCAAATAAGTCATCAATCCTCGGCAATGGATACTTGACTTTGATCAACTGCTGATAATCTAGGCACTTCCTCGTCGATCCATCTTTTTTCTTCACAAACAACACAGGCGCACACCAGGGCAAGACACTAGGTCTAATAAAGCCCTTATCAAGCAAGTCTTGCAACTGCTCATTCAATTCTTTCAACTCTGG